TCTCTGTACTTGGCTTTGTTTCTTCTTATTAACTCCATACATCATAATAATAACCATGAACATCACTGACTTCGGGCAGTTCGGGAATGTACCATTTTATTGTTGGTTTTATTTGTATTCTCTCTGTGGTTGCAAGCATTAGTGGTGATGAGTGGATATAGGCCAAGAGGTCACCGTGCTCTGAGGTAGGTTCATTATAGGCCCATCACACTCACTGTTAAGTCCCTGAGCAGGGCAGACACTAATCAGAGACACACAAAGTACTCACAATGATGCCAGTTTATTCTTGTTTACTATCTAGCACACCTACACAGATAATAACCTTCAATTAAACTACTGTAACGGTGTAAACATCACAGTTGAATGGCTGATTCATTCTGAAATTCTCATTATTTTCCACAATTTGTATTTCCATTTTGGACTTTATTAAATGACTGCTCCCAAAGTGAGAGGTGAAAGGTCCACTTACAATGCTCTGGGGATGGGAACTGCAGGTCGGTGAATCTACTATTGTGGTCCAAATTGAAATAATTCAAGAACTATTGAAAAACATTCATGTCCTAACTTTGTCATGTCATAGCTTTGGTGATCAAAGCTATGACCAGCTAACTGTTCTAGCATCAGGTCAATTTTATTGTATTTGGCCAATGGTTTGTTTGATGACCAATCTAACATTCTATTTAACATCAGCTGTACCTTGTGTTTTAATGATAATGAGCTAATGCTAGCATGCTAACACGCTAAGCTATGATGGTAAACATTACCTGGTAAACATAACCTGCTAAGCAACAGCATGTTAGCTTTGTCAATGTGAGCATGTTAGCATATAGCTTAACATTGCCAGACTGGTAAAAACCTTGCCACTTGGTCCAATATTAACCACCATTTGCATCATTTAAACAATCAAAACAACACACACAGTATCTTAGGGTAAAAAACAACATCCATATTGACGCCACATTCATGGAAAGTATACATTTTAATATTCATAAAACGATGCAACCTTCAGGTTCATAGAAGCATTAAGAGTAGATTAAGTAATGGAGGCCTGTGATTATGACCAATGTATTGTTCCACTGCCTGCTACAGTCAGACATCGGGCCTTGGGCTAGAGCCATCTCATTAAACTCTTCGATGTACGATACGCAGTCCTCCGGGGAGCGCAGCACTAGTGCAGCTCAATAAGCTGCAACAGCCAAGTCAACAGCGGGTCAATATGAGACAATAGATGAGGTGAAAGGGCATGGGAGTGTGTTTCTGAGTGGAAGCATGGGGATAATGTCCTGGAAACAACTTTCACAATGCCGCGTGGGGGAAAAAATGGGATACCTGTGCATGGATAACACCAGAAGGAAAGTAGTTGTATGCAGGGGATTCAAATGAGTGTTGTGGGTAGGTGGATTTCGGATTAAGAGAAGAGAGGAGAAGGCGTGAGCCATTAACTTTATTGAGCTCATTCAAGAATATCACCAGGGGCTCAAAGATTTCTTACCCAAATATCCAATAATGTTATGTTGCCTGGCAACCATTCCTCAAAAATGCAATCAAGGGTGTAATGAAACCTAACCTATTTCCCCAAACATTTAATCAATCCCTCATCATGGAGACCAGGAAATGAAAGTATTTTCTGTATTTCATCTTTCTGTGGGACATTGTTGTTGCTGTTGACTTGTATCAGTCTCTTCTGCTGTGTAACAGGCAGGCAGCATGTAACATATGCGCACCGTTTGCAGGGTGTCTGCTACAACACTGTCAGTTTTTTCAGACAGTGGCGGCCCGCCATAATCTAATTTGTCCCGCCAGAGTTTCATAATGTAGCGCTTCAGACCGGTGGGTCTTAATGGCTCTCGCCAGATGCATTTCCTTCATGGCGGTGGGCGGGAGTTTAAAAAAAACATGCATATGTTTACAATCGATCAGTAGTTAAGTTTGCTTTACTTCCTGTTGATATATTTGATCGCTTTTGATTGAAAAGCAACTGATTTATACACGAATAAAGTCTTCACCTGCTAAGATATTCGCTAAGTTTTAAGGGTGCAAATGGCATCAAGTGATTCACTAGTAGTTACAAAGAACTTAGGTGGGGTTTTAAATGCAAATTTAGTGATGGGTTTATAAAAAAAATAGTGTTATCCAATCCTGGCAAATAAAATCAGGGATCCCCCCGGTATTTAGGCTACCTGTGGCACTGTAGAAAAATCAGTATGGTCACATTTTCAGGATTTTGGCATCGAAATATCGGTTCTCGTGACATCTCTTGTCACAATAAAATCATGAGAGTTTGAGAGTTGTGGCATGCTCACGCTGACATGATCGTTTGGTGTATGGTGGTCAAAAAATACAGTCAGAGCTGCCTCAACTCTGTGTTTTTCTCGCCTTGACGTTCCCATAAAATTAAATATGTTCAATATCGTAAGTCTTGGCTTAAGTCCTTGCAAAATCTGTGAATAAAAGCTCTGTGACTTATGACTTAAGATGCGAGAAGGTATCAGACTTCAGTCTTTTCAAAATCTTCTAGTGTACAGTAGGCATTAGTAAATACAACAGCTCGGTACCTCATGGTCAGAAATAGTTACTCCTTTTTACATAGCACTTACATATACAGACCTAATTGATAAGCTGTGTTACGTGTTGTCTTTTCTCCCCTCCTGCCCTTCTTTCTTTCTCTCTCTCATGTTCCTAACAGGTATCAATCAGTTGGTTGGGTTCCACCTGTGGGGGCCGGTCGTGCTGCTCGGTGGGTTGCACCAACTGCAGGCTGGCCAATCGGCAGAGGGGGAGCCAAAGATAAAAGCAGGAAGACTCAGGAGTTCAGCTGGTCTTGTCTTCAATTGTTTTCTGTTGATGCTGAGAGCTAGAATTCAGGTTAATGTTTGTGGTTGCCAGAGCCACCACCCCTTCCAAACACATTTGGAAGGGGTGGTGGTGGTGGTGGAAAGCTGGTGAGGGATCAGACCCTTGTCATGTCTCTAACAACTCCTATTTGTTCTATCTACACTTTTCACCAGAAGTGGAAGGTGTAGATTTAATATTTAGGGGTAATGTTTCCTCCAGCGAAAAAGTTGTTGTTGCATATGGTTATTTTGAAATTACTTATGTAAGCATTCGATAAAGATTCATGATGAAGTTATCTGTGAAGAGGCACCACCCTGTAACTCTCATGATTGTTTCTCCTACACTACTAGCAACTGTCTGAGTTGCTAGCACTGCGATAAGGACATGATCCCTCACTGGCTTCCCTCCTGCTAATAAGGCCAAACTGATAGCTTGTTAAAAAGTAAAGCAATGTGATCTGTATTAAGTTTTAAAGGCAGATTTTGTTTTAATTAATTAACACCAATAGTGTGTCAATATTGTTATTAAACCCTTTTAGACAATGTTAGCTTTGTTTGCACTGTTGCCCGGACTGCACTGTGCTATGTTAGCACCGTACACTCCTAGCCGTCGCTATGTTGAGGGCAATAAATATGCTCGGAATTTCATATTGAGCACCTTTAAATGACCAAGAACTATTTTGAACATTTACGGAGGATCATAAATTACACATTGAGGGCTCATTATGTCTGTTGGCGCAAGAAGAAGAATTTGATTCCTCCTGTGGCGTGAAACCACTTGTTTGGATTGGTGCCTTTTTGAAACTGTTGCAAAAAAGCTCCCAAAACTTCCAGTATCAGAGAGCAGTATAGCACCAGTCTCTCCCCCTCTCCACTAAGAGGGGTAGCTGTTTGTTGTGGATCAAACTGTGTGTGTGTGTGCATTTAGAGCAGTCTAATACAAGAGGAAGTGGGTCACGGCTCCTCAGGGGAACCACTCTGGTAGCTTGAACTTCCTCTTCATCATACATGTTTAATGATGGATTGTAACATGTTTAAATATCAGCGACCCAGCCACAGCTGCTATGAGGGAAACAACATACATGTAAACACTCGCTCACACATACACACAAAGGCAGGGAGAAATTAATGAACAGACTTGCTTCTGCACTGTGTGTACACTGTATACCATATGCATGCATAGGAAAGATGATCAAACAGCCCGCATGCTCTGATATGCATATATATTGCATATATATACAGTATATACCCAAATCACTTACACATGCACACACACTAAACATTTTATCAGAGTAGAGATGGCTGGTTTTGTAAAATCCTCTAAAGAAAATAACTCAAATTAGTGGTATGTGTGTGTTGTATTCTTGTAATATTCCTACAGTTTCCTCAGGGATTTTTGTGGTCAAATGTGCAGCGTAAATGTAATTATTTAAGTTCAGCCCCATTAAAGTTTTTTCCAGACTGGCCTCCTCCTTTCTGATCAGAAAATTGTTTCTAATGTCAATATTAAAGAAATTCCAAGCCAACTATACTCCATACTGGGAGTCTAAAATAACTGGATTATACACCACTGGTTTTAGTTGTTTTTGCAAGATCGTCTGCAAACTGCCGGCAGCTGTGGGGGATTATCGGGTGGGGCTTCTTTTTTTTCCCCCTTCTCACCGCCACAGTAAAAGAGAAACCAGACCAACACTCACACGGTTGGGTCTGCACGAGGAGGATAGATGGATGATGTAGTGGATTTGCAAACACAACATACACACATACGTATATGTATGGTACTGAGATGCATTGTTAGATTATACTGCTCGGTGCTGGATGCAAGCAACAAGTTCAGATCGCACTCTTCTCGCATTTCGTGAACTGGGAATCTCGTGGTCAGCGCGAGGCAGTTGCATACAAATGATTATTTTTATGCATCGTTCTGTCTCTCTTTAACCCAATTTGAAACGTTTAAAAGAAGCTGTGCTGTTTAAGATAAGTGTGCTGAATGCTCCTCTAAAAATATAAAAACTATTTTTTTATCAGCCCCCGCGGAGCTCGTGATGAATTCGAATTGACCATTAAACTGCATATTTGAGATGCTTCTTTTTTTTGGAGGACAGTCGCGGGTTCCTATAACATAATTCTACTTTCAACTGTCAGAGAGAAGATTGAGGGCCCGACCTGAGTCCGTGTAGCGCGGTCTGGCCAGGTCCCTGAAGTAGTAGATGAAATCCAGGCAGTGGTCGTCCTGCACCTCCCCCTTGGAGCACAGGTCGGAGAGCAGCTCCAGCGCCTTTCGACAAATCTCATCCTCTCTTTCTGCAGGCATTGCCCTCCAGCATCCTTCAGGCTGTTCGGCCACTCCGGCTGATCCTCCACCACCACCACTTCTCTCTCAAACACACACACGCGCGCGCGCGCCCTCGCTCACAGTCTCCACCAGCGCAAAAAGACGCACCAGAAGCACCGCGGCTACACCCCTGGGTAGGTCCGGTGCCCTCGACGTATCCGCGAAATTTGATGATGTTCAGGTGAATTGTGAATAAAGGCTGGAGGTCTTAGTTCAGAGGAGTTCTCATGCGTAAAACAAATCCTCCATCGCATGTTTTGTTGTTGTTGAATGAAATAACTGCTCCAATCCGGCGCGCAACTCCTCTTATTTTTCTTTCCTGCTATTCCCTCCTGTCTTTCTGTCTCACTTTTCCCCTCCTTTATCTTCTGGCAGCGCTGCTGCTGCCGCCGCTGCTGCTGAATCCCGATTGAGCCTCCAGGCTTCACCAGCTTGAATGAATGCGCGGCTTTCACCGCGCTCAGTTATTTCTCAAAGCACTGGGATGCAGAGAGACAGACAGGAAGTTCTGCCTCCTTCAACCCCCCCCCCTTCTCCACCACCTCCAACACCATCCCCTTGCCATCTAAGCAGCAGCTGTCCCACCTCACAGAGAAGTCAAAACCAGTACAGACATCACTGTGTGTGCCTTGCCTCTATCTAAACACTTTCCAAATGTCATGAATTCCCTCAGCGTTCCTTTCCTTTTCTCCATTGTCTAATGAACAAAAGTCAAAGATGTTGATCCTCACACCTGGTAAGCACATAAGTAATGAAGGTAATATCCCCAGTGGGCTCCCGGGTAGCAAGTTTTTCAACGGAGTAAAGGGGGCTCAAACACCTGAGAGAGAGAGAGAGAGAGAGAGGGGGGGGGGCCCCACATGCACAATGCTGACCTTTACTGGAGGTAATGAAGGGGCGAGAGTGATGGATAAATGTCACATTAAAGCCCCGGTGGTGGAGTTAATAAAGGCCTCCCCGTTTCAGTCTCTCTCCTGATTCTTTCCATGTGTGTTTGTGAAGTATTAGGTGACGTCTTCCAGTATATCAACAAATAGCTCCTAGCACATGAAAATAACTTGACTGTGAAGCCTTTGTTATGTCATTGCCAGTGTTTCAGCTGCATACATATATATATATATATATATATATATATATATATATATATATATATATCATACCGATTTATATATCAGTTTAATAATCAGCCATATATACAGTATATATAAGGCTGATTGTCAAACTGATGTCAAGTAACTGCATCAGAACCAATGGGAAGAGAGTATGGAGCATTTTCACCACATTTTTCCATCAAAAACCCTGATATTTAAAAATATTATCAAATTACTTTGTTATATGAAAAGGACCCAGGATTGACCTTTGGCTAAGCTTCCCCCCTCGCTGCTTGTCCATCAAGCTGGGCTACCATGGAGCCCACACTGAAATATTATCACATTTTTGGAGAAGTTTAAAAGAGATTTCAGAGAGAAGCGGATCTACAATATGCGTTTGAAGGAAAAATCTAAGGATGTCAGACTGATTCAGCAGAGAAAACAGTTTAAAAAGAGAAAAATAGAAGCTAAAGACTACAGATCTCAGTGTAAAAGTGAACCACCACATCACCTGGGGATAAAGACAGAAGATGATGAAATTAAGGAACAACACTGTTCCTGTAAAGCCGGGTAGGTCTTTATTCACTATTAAAATCCTTAAAAAGCAAAAGCAGCATGTGTAGACATCCAGTATACTTCAGTAGCGAGCATAGCATAGACATGCTAACGCGAGTTAATAATGATGCATACTTTGCTAATGTTAGCTCCACAGGCTTTTAGTTGAATCTAAGTGCACATGGCTGACTCACATTTAAAGTTAGCATTAACGTGGTGTCCTTGGTGTCTTCACACCTTGCTAATGCTAACATGCATGAGCAAAGACTGAAGAAGATAGCATCATATTTGGCAAGAAATACTTGAACAGTCCACTTTCTGTGAGGCTTTCATGCAGATGGGATGGTATTTCATTTTTGGCCTATTTCTAATTCAGATACAAATTATCCGTTGAGTTGAAGACATCTCTTTCCCAATATATGTTGTAACCGCTCCCATGACACCACTCAACCTTTGATTTTTTCAGCTTCAGTGGTCATCAGGCATAAAATACCATTTCATTATCAAAACCAATTGTTGTGCATGATGATGCAGGACTGCTGGAAACCACGTTGGTAAAACCACGTTCTGTTTGGCAGTTTGATGTGTGTGTGTGTGTGTGTGTGTGTGTGTGTGTGTGTGTGTGTGTGT